GTACCAGGATGGCTGTCCTGGGGAAGTAAAGGTGGCCGGCGTAATGCTGACCACATTACCCATCCAGTGGCGATTGGTCTGTAAAAATATGGGACGCTCTTCTCATATACCCGATGCGCCTAGGACGTGAAAAAAGATCTTTACTTGTTTTTGTTTTTTTTTTACTTTCTAGTATAGTGAATTGAACATCAAATTGTTCCGCTCTCAGGGACTACGAACTGCGTATTGAGGACGTTGACCCAAAGAAGTTCAACTACATGATTCCGTCAGTCATCATCGCACTGTGGTGTATTTTCCTGGCTCTGTTTGTACGAGCCAACAAATCTGATGCAAGGGAGAAGATGATGGCACGTATTTTGTTCCTTTGATTGTTTGTTACCAAACCATACAAAGCATACATGGAAAAAGAAGAAGGACGTAGAGCACGAGGTAGACCAAGAACAATATGGAAGGATAACATCAGAGAAACTCTACAACAGCACGATGTGCCTATGGTCGAGACGGCCAGAAGAGCCAGAAACAGAACCTTATATCTCCCTCGACACCCACAGTGGTAAAAGAGGAATTGAAGAAGAAGAAGAACAGTGTTTGTTTGTTGTTTTATATCGATTAGCCGTATCATATCTGCATACAATTTGTAACCATATGTTTTTACAAATCGGTTAGCGGCTGGTCGATCGGTTAGAACAGAGGACTGTCTTTCAGGAGAACCCGGGTTGAAATCTCAGTGAGGTTATAAGTGTTGCTTTCTTCTGTCGAGAGCAGACACTAACATCCCAACCTGCCCAGTCTGTGGCCACGGCACCAGCCATGCGCAGAACATCATCAGATACTACCGTTATTCCCTGGGATCGTTGCAGAAGCTATCGAGTTCGTGCTGTGTGCAAGCAGGTAGCTAGGTTCCGTGGACCCTGCCATACGAAATAGAATTCGGAGATTTTAAATCGATCCCCTTGTCTTTATCTGTAACGAAAGTATAATGGGTCACGAAAAGAAAAAGGGACTTAAATACTGCGGGATCTCCCCATGTGGGTTCTAAGGCCCCATTTTGGGAACAATAAAGAATAGACCCACAGCCTCAATAAAGCATGTTGCGAAATTCGACTAATTCCGGCCTGACTCCTTGGAAGTCGAAGTGCATCTGCCTTGTAGAGGAGCATCCAACATTCTGCATACAATTATTAGGGCTGTACCGAATATTCGCTTCGTATTCGCTTCGGGGCCGAATAGTGGACCCAATAACTATTCAGTATTCGGCCGAATAGTTGCGGTCGGGCCTAATACGAATAGTGGTTACCTCACAACCGTTTCTGGACTGGTGGAAAAAAAAACATCAAGACTTCCCACCTTGGTTTATACTGTGAAGCGTTATCTTTGTGCACCACCTACGAGCGTACCAAGTGCCACTTTATTTCCATCTTGCATTTGTTGCGAGTATAGTGCTTTTATGTGTGTTGCTGTAGAAACAAAATGCAACACTTAAAAATGTAAGAGGGGCAGAAAAGCAAGTGTTCTAGTGTTGTCGGCTTAAATTCTTTGAGCGGAGTGTCCTCTTTCTTGATTCTTTGAAGTATCGGGAGTTCGTCATCATTTATGGGTGTCGTATCTGTTCTTTCGTCGTCTCGTGGAAACGGCAGCGGCTGAATGTTTTGATCGACGTTCGGTTTCTTGATTGTCTTTGTTGTTTGATCTTCTGGCGTTGGCCGCCCGGCGTCTGGTTTCGTGAGCTCGCGGGGGGGGGGGGGGGGGGGGGGGGGGCGACTTGTAAGGACGGCATTTTTTTCTTCGTCGGCGTTATTTTTGTTTTTGATGTTTCGCCTTGCGGGTTTTCATTTTGACTCTCTGTATTTGTCGTATTTTCCTGTTTAGTACAGCTGGAAATACCTTCAGTGAGACAAAAAGCTGGCCTAATGCTGACAACATGGAACGAAGGTTTTTCATGGAGGTGTGTCAGCACACGAACTAATACGTGCTGCAGGAGATCGCAGATTGTGGCGAGGCATAATCGCCCATGCTAGCCGGCAAAGCACACGATGATGATGATTCACTATTCGTATTCGTATTCGGCCGAATAGTTGGTCTAGCTATTCGTATTCGACCGAATAGTGAAAAAACTATTCGGTACAGCCCTAACAATTATACCAGATCTAGCATGAGAATGGAGATGGGAGGGGTAACTGCAGCTCTCCAATGGCTAGAGAACAAGATGCATACACATGTCGTAATTGTAACAGACTCTGAAAGCATGCTGACAAAGGTGGTGAAGACAGGGATGCCTCGAGCAGAGTGGCAAGCTTCACCGGACAGGTCACGGGTAGTAAGCATATTTTGGATCTTTTCTCCACATATGCCGGTGTGGTGGGGAATGAACAGGCAGACAGATTGGCTGGACTGCACCACTGGATGCTTATTTGATACATGACAAGGCAGATGTAGTCAATGCACTTTAGAACGAGCAACGGAATCAGTAGAGACAGAAGATTCTTATGGCCTGGAGAGAATGAGGTGTAATCAGAGGGTCTAGCCGGCTCGCTACGCTCAAAGGAAAGGCAAGACGGATATATAATTACATTTTGACCCTTGCCACCAGTATTGGAACTCTGCGCTGGCTGCTGAAGATGAGCACGGAGCATGCATGGGAATGCCCCTAGTTCTGTGATGTCAATTCTTGACTCAACTCAACTAAACTCAACTTATACCAGATCTGTAAAAAATGCGGCGCGCATGACTTGAGTTCTGGAATACGGCCAAAGTCCAGACTTTGAGAAACAGCCAGTTCTTACCGCCATAGTTCAGTCAGAGAACGTTAGCAAGAAGGGTAAAGCATTATCTAACCATGGAGTACAAGTTTGTCATATACGGTCTGATGGCTTGAGAGAAGCACCGTCCGATATTTTGTAACTGTAACGGACTTACAGGACATGCTTGCAAGGGTTAATAAAGACTCAGACCTGGGGCGTATCATGGCTTTTCTGCCCAGGTAATTTAATTTTGCGAGGCAACGAGCGAGTTATTAAACGGGCGGGGCGACAGTTCTTTAGGATCAGAACAGACTGAGAATCTGTACATTGAAAGACTAACTCAACTGTGGCTGAGCAGAGATTCTGAAAGCTATTCAACACTAAGGGGGAAACATAGGCGACATTTTTAATCAGGTTGCAGCTGTTACTATTGTCATGTCCACTATTCGTTGGCTACTGGAAGAAAGGGGGCGGAGAACGTGTGGAAATGTCGTAAGTGCAGTCATGTCACTTCTTGATTGATCGATTTGTATTCGTCCCCATGTGGGATACAATTGTTTCGTTTTTTGAAGCCCCACCCTGGCTTTTTCCGGGGGCCCTGAATATAGGCAGGTCATAAATATGGCCTAAAGGCTGAAAGGGGTTTCTGGGACCTCTCCACGGGTGAACCTCATCGGCATGGTGGCATTGTGGTCGTGGTTCACGCCCGGGGGTTGGCAGAAAAGCCATATTTTTCCCAGATGTATGGTATCTATAATGGAATCACAGCCGAAGGGTTGCGATATCCATAGTACTGAGCCAAAGGGTTAACAACTCATGGTTTCTGGATATAAAATATATAAATATATAGTTTGGAAAGACCAACAACACAGGGTATAGTTCTGGGAGATAACGACCAGCGCGACGATGGAGACAGAAGTCAAGGACATCCAGTGGGCGATGATACTTGATAGGGCAGACGTAGTTAGTGCCTTGTGAGAGAGCGTGTACAGTTCGGAGGAGCAGATGGATCACCACAGTCTGGTGAGATTGATGCAGCGGGGAGTGACGAGAGGTTCTGGCAGATGCTCAAGGCTCAGAGGAAAGGCAAGACGGACGTTTAATCAGAATGCTACTGGCACCATTAGTATCGGAAGTCTCAGTTGGCTGCTGAAGATGAGGACGGAGCGCTTATGGGAATGCCCCGAGTGCTGTGAATACGTTTCTTGAGTTAAATCAAATCAGTCAAATCAAATCAGTGGGTAAAGCGTGGACTGTTGGCACAGGATTAGATCGCGTTCCGGCGTGCAGATAAAAAGACCTTCTGCCAAGGATCGCCAGATGTCTGGTTGGGCATATGGTTATTTCTATTTTGTGGATCGCCTCATCTACATTTAGAGAGGTGCGGGCGCCCTCCGATGCCCAAACCCTCCTGGTTTGGCACCCTTGCGATTTGGTTCCAATATAATCGGGTGTCCTGTGTGGGGCAGATTGTTATCATCAATTCATAGGCGCCGGGACCTTGGAGTTAAGTACCCCTTGAACCCTACCGCCCTTCCCCATATTTTAAGGGCTTGAGGGCCCCTCACACCAAAAAAGTTTGTCGTGTGGCTAAACCCACTGTAACAATGTGTACACATTTATTTTTTCAAAAGAATGTGTTAATATACATGGTAATATTGTAAGTATTGCACTATACTTTTCCATTCATGACAAACATGTAATATTTTTAAAATATATTTTTATACTTTGCTTATCACAACAATATTATTATTATTATTATTATGCTCTCTAATTAGGATTATGACCCTCGGAATCCCGCCTCTCCCTCCCCCCTCCCTTTTTTTCTAGAAACAATTTTAAGACAGGGAAGTGTTTGAGTGCTTCTGAGCGCCCCCCCCCCCCCAGCCCTAATATCCTAACTTTGGTTGAGCGCTCCTGTCTCTAATAGATTTCTTTCGCTTAAAAAGAATATTTGCTTTAATTCATTCGGTCACAATCAAGTTACCAGGCGTTTATTGATGGTTGCATTCGTGAAATGATTTTTTTTTTTCTAAATTTGTTGCTTTCCAAGTAGCTGTTATAAGTAATTGTCATAACCAAATTGTTACTGTAACTCTTTGGCACCTTATTGGGGCTAATTTAACCCCTCCGGGTTTTAAAAAAAAAAACACACAATTAATATGGGTAATAAATACTTTGCAATCAACAAGGTATGTGATACCTGCCTGGGACTCCAAACGTTTTTGTTTTTTAAACAGTGTGTTTTTCTCGTGGTAGGGCAAGACACTGGGCTTGCAAGGCGTCTTCAGCCCATACAGCAGGTGCCAGTACCTGGTCTGTTTCGTGACCGGCTTCGGGGTCGGCTGCGGCACCAAGTCGGTTCCGTACATGACCATCGTGGGCTCTGATATGATCAGTCCCCGGTACAAGCTTCAGACCAGTGACTACGTTTTTGTGGTGAGCAGCGTCCTAATCTTTCGTTCTTCTTATACGAGTTTGATCCTCCTTTCCTACATTCGTTTCGTTGCCGTCCCTTAGAAATTTTCTCCAGATATTCAAGTGTGATGGGGAACGAACATGAGGACATATTAGCTGGTTCTGCACAATTGGGTGGTAAATTGATGTATGACAAGTTATACTTCCTGAGAGCAAAGGACCAACAGTCTAAATACAAATAAGATTATAAAACGGATGTGCATGCAAAACGCAGAATTTTGATCAAGACCGTAGTCCGGGAGAGGACAAACAACCAGACCTTGCCGCTGGAGTATACAGCGGGCGAACGCTAAGAAGAAATCTTATCAAAGCCTTTTGGGAGACAGCCAACATTGTGGGTGTACTTATAGATCACCACACACTGGAGAGAATGTTGCAGCGAGGAGTTACTTAGCTGGTTAATCGATAGATTATTCTCACTGCACATCGGACAAGTCCATTAGCGCTCGAGTATACAGCGGGCGAACGCTAAGAAAAAGAATCTTATCAAAGCCTTTTGCGAGACAGCCAACATTGCTGGTGTACTTATAGATCCCCACACACTAGAGAGAATATTGCAGCGAGCAGTTTGTTAGTTAGTTTGTTAGTTAATCGACAGATTATTCTCACTGCACATCGGACAAGTCCATTAGCGCTCGGATCGAATCTCCAGTCGATCCCTCTGTGTGTGGTGACCGATAACACCAGTGCTGTGTTGGTTTACAATTATTCTTTGGCGGAAAGTTTAGTATTCATGTTTGGCGACATATTTTTGACCTGAAGTTCTTGTAGTCTTTGGAGTGCTGCCGATTTAACATCGTCTCCTCAATCATCTTCGCGTCCTGTCTCCTTGAAAGCATTGAGAACATCTAAGCGTGCCACTGTTTAGAGCCGAGTTAATTTTTTTTTGCTTCTGCCGGACGGTGGCTCATGCATTTTTGTTCCATTTGTAGACTGGATTTAGTTTCGTCGCCCAGCTTCTGAGTTAAATGCATGGCGTGACACTGTGAGCTGCGGATTTCATTTAGAATGTTTTTTCGACTGTAACCAACGTGGTGGTGTGAATTGTAGATTCAGAAAATGGCGCGATGTCTGTCGTCGCAATTTCGATGGTGCCCATATATGATTAAGATTGATCGCGTGGTCAACTGCAGATCTGTTGGTGACTTCTGCTACTATCAATGGTGAACTGCATTTCTAATGTCGGACTGTTTGTGTTAGCACTACGGAAGGCTACCGTATGCTTTAATGCTAGTGTATGCTAGATATGCTGAGACAGCAGTCTGTCAATCTTTCCACAAGGGACTGTGATAAACATTCTGCGTGTTTTTCGTTGGCACAGGAGCGGAGCAAAGATGTGGTGACCCGTTTGCTATGAAGCTGAAACTAAGACTACCAGAATTGGGAACATCGGCCCGGTCCATGTGCCTTCCGTGGTCCTGCCAACAAGCCAATCTGCTCATTAAGCCAGAGTGTTCGGGAACAAAATGAAACCTAATTCCTTTAAGACGAGATTTCTTGAGTGACTCTCACAATTTTCTTTAGATCCTGTCATGGTCTTCTTAAGCATGCTCATGGCCCGGCCCTCTAGCGTAGTTGGCTAAACCGGATTGCGTGGTGACTTGGTGACGAACTCTTTGTGGTCCGGGTTCACTCCTGGGGGTAGGCAGAAAAGCCACATTTCTCCCAGATTTACGGTATTTACAATGGAATCAAGGCCGAAAGGTTGCGATATCCATAGTACCGAGCCTAAGGGTTAACAACTCATGGCTTCTGGATACTAAAACAAACAAACAAGCATGCCCATGGAATCACGTAGAAAGCAAGCATGGAAAAAAGGCTGTGTTTCAGGCACATCATTGCTTTTGGTACAGAGGGGTGGCCATGAAATCTATTCATTACTCAACACTCGGGATGGAGGGAAAAAAAGAGGGTGGGGGGGGGGGGGGGGCAAGACTGACATGCAATGAGATTGCTACTGGTTATTCAGCCGGTTTTTGTGATTTGGGCGTTGCGCGCTTCGTAGTACCCGGGTGGAAAAGGTGGGGGGGGGGGGGGGAGTTGTCGGGATCGATCCCAGATGCAGGCGATTTGACAGCAGACTGTCTTGCATTGGTTTTCACAGCGGTGTCGACAGCTGACCGGTTAAAAAGCAATGGCAAACTACTGAACGTAAAACATGCTTAGTAAACCACAACACGCCCAGAGAATGCTAGGGTTGGTTCTGCAACATCTAATGAAGCTGATACAACTAACTTTAACTTGTTCTTCAGAATGGAAACTCTGCGCTGGCCGTTTAAGTTAATGATGACATGTTTATAAAAAAATTCAAGATTTCTATGCTGCTGGTTCTTAACTCATTTCTCGTCCGTTTTTTTTTTTTTTTTCTAAAATTTTTTTTTTTTTTTTTTTTACTTTTTTTTTTTTAAATTATTCTAGTTTTCCTCTATGTTGATCAGAATCATCATGTGCACAGTTAATTACGAGTGACTTGCTAGTCCACTCAAGGAACACTAAACTCGTAGCAGTAAAGAGCCTTCACAGCGCTTAGATTGTGTGTATAATTGTGTGTATAATTGTGTGTATAATTGTGTGTATAATTGTGTGTATAATTGTGTGTATAATTGTGTGTATAATTGTGTGTATAATTGTGTGTATAATTGTGTGTATAATTGTGTGTATAATTGTGTGTATAATTGTGTGTATAATTGTGTGTATAATTGTGTGTATAATTGTGTGTATAATTGTGTGTATAATTGTGTGTATAATTGTGTGTATAATTGTGTGTATAATTTGTGTGTATAATTGTGTGTATAATTGTGTGTATAATTGTGTGTATAATTGTGTGTATAATTGTGTGTATAATTGTGTGTATAATTGTGTGTATAATTGTGTGTATAATTGTGTGTATAATTGTGTGTATAATTGTGTGTATAATTGTGTGTATAATTTGTGTGTATAATTGTGTGTATAATTGTGTGTATAATTGTGTGTATAATTGTGTGGTATAATTGTGTGTATAATTGTGTGTATAATTGTGTGTATAATTGTGTGTATAATTGTGTGTATAATTGTGTGTATAATTGTGTGTATAATTGTGTGTATAATTGTGTGTATAATTGTGTGTATAATTGTGTGTATAATTGTGTGTATAATTGTGTGTATAATTGTGTGTATAATTGTGTGTATAATTGTGTGTATAATTGTGTGTATAATTGTGTGTATAATTGTGTGTATAATTGTGTGTATAATTGTGTGTATAATTGTGTGTATAATTGTGTGTATAATTGTGTGTATAATTGTGTGTATAATTGTGTGTATAATTGTGTGTATAATTGTGTGTATATTGTGTGTATAATTGTGTGTATAATTGTGTGTATAATTGTGTGTATAATTGTGTGTATAATTGTGTGTATAATTGTGTGTATAATTGTGTGTATAATTGTGTGTATAATTGTGTGTATAATTGTGTGTATAATTGTGTGTATAATTGTGTGTATAATTGTGTGTATAATTGTGTGTATAATTGTGTGTATAATTGTGTGTATAATTGTGTGTATAATTGTGTGTATAATTGTGTGTATAATTGTATTAACGAGGGTGCAAACTATATGTTGTAAAAATTTTTGGTGTGGGAAATTATCCAAATGCCCTCAGGTTTACATATACAGAGTGGACATCAACATACAGGGAAGCATAAATCAGGAATCCTTGCCACTGAAATACACAGAGCACATTGTCTCTTGTTACTCTGATAATGGAAGTCTAAGAAGTCTACTTGACCGCAATGGAAATCTAAGATTAACTACTTGATCGCAATGGAAGTCTAAGATTAACTACTTGATCGCAATGGAAATCTAAGATTAAATACTTGATCGCAATGGAAATCTAAGAATAAATACTTGATCGCAATAGAAATCTAAGACTTCTTGATCGCAATGGAAATCTAAGATTAAATACTTGATCGCAATGGAAATCTAAGAATAAATACTTGATCGCAATAAAAATCTAAGATTAACTACTTGGTCGCAATGGAAGTCTAAGATTAACTACTTGATCGCAATGGAAGTCTAAGATTAAATACTTGATCGCAATGGAAGTCTAAGATTAAATACTTGATCGCAATGGAAATCTAAGACTTCTTGATCGCAATGGAAATCTAAGATTAAATACTTGATCGCAATGGAAATCTAAGACTTCTTGATCGCAATGGAAATTTAAGATTAACTACTTGATCGCAATGGAAATCTAAGATTAACTACTTGATCGCAATGGAAGTCTAAGATTAACTACTTGATCGCAATGGAAATCTAAGATTAACTACTTAATCGCAATGGAAGTCTAAGATTAACTACTTGATCGCAATTGAAATCTAAGATTAACTATTTGATCGCAATAGAAATATAAGATTAAATACTTGATCGCAATGGAAGCGAAGATTAACTACTTGACTGCACTGGAAGTTTAAGTATAATTGTTGTGCAATGTTTCATTTGTGCCCACGTTATTGAAATTATGGCGGTTTATTAGAAACACCGTTCTCGTGCCACTTGGACAAAATCATGAGAGACGCATCGTCGACAAGATTGGGGCCTCAGCACGTAATATTCTCGGTAAGTAGTGAGTGATCCACTCACGGAAACAGATGCATGATAAACTAAATATACTTGTTGCCAGATCACAACAGCTAGGTCTGAAAATACATAATAGAAAGATAAATATAAATAATCAGGCAAATAGTAATGTGGTTTCTCTTAATGGTATCACTCTTGAAAACGTGGAGTCGTACATCTGTTCAGGCAGTAATGAAGATAAAGAAGTGGGAAACTGATAGCGATATTAAAATGCGAATACAAACGGATGGAGTAGCTTTCATAGCACTAGGAATTTGTGGTCAAAAGAAATTAAAACTGTTACTAAACTGAAAAAACAAAAAAAAATGTGTAAACTAATGTCAAATCAGTACTGTTCTGTGGAACGGAAACATGGAGAACAGCTAAGGCAATTAATTATAAACTACAAACATTCGTTAACTGGCGCCTGTGCAGATTAGAAGGAATTACCTGGTATGACAGAATCACTAATGTAGAGCTTTGAGAGAGAACTAAACAAGTTCCAATGGACCAAGAGGTGAAGAAAAGACGCTGGTGTTTGACAGGACACACGTTGAAAAAACAAAACCTGAGAACAATATAACTAGTATGTCTTTGCATTGGAACCCACAGGGGCATATAAATAAAGGATGTCCAACAAACAAACGGAGAAGGGAGCTAGAGAGTGAAGTTAAAAAAAGATGGGGAGAACATGGTGAGAGCTGCATGCGATAACACAGGATAGAAGAGTTGGCGTGAGTTGGTTGAGTGCCTATGATCCATTGGGGGTTAGAAAGGCAGTAGATGAAGAAGTGCAGCAGCCAACATTTATTACGGTGGGTTAATATAAATTTCGGTATCCTGTGCCGCCATTTCAATGGTTTAAGACGAATTCGGTCAGTATTCCATAGTTGTGGATTTCAAGCTGTACATGGCGACCGAAAACACTTTTGGGGGAGGGTGGACGCCTAATTGGCCATGTTCTTAGTACACTTGTTTCCAATGCAAGGCGCACATGCCAGTTGGAGGTGATAGGTTCGATTCCTGGCACAGTAACGATAGCTTTTGATTGTTATGTTGTCTAGTGTGCCCTTTTATCTTTCTACTTCTTTCTGTGAGTGCAAATCAATACATTGTTTGTTTATTATATACATAATATCGTTACTGAAAGGGCACACATCTTGTTTGATTTAGGTTCCTCGCCTCCCTTTGCCCATCTGCTCGTGCCTCAAAGTCTCGCAGAGAAAAGTTACATGAAGTTTCCTGTTTGTCTTTTGCTGGCTACGTAGATTGCGTCAATGTCATACAGCGTTATTGTAGCGTTTCCTTTAGCTCCCTCCACCCATCTCTTTCTGTGTTTGTCTTTTGCCTTGCAGGCTGTTGTTCTCATGAAGTAGGTTCTAGTTGCTGGCTAATTTTCTTCTATTAGATCAGATTATCTAGACATTTGATTCTTTTTCTATGAAATCATTTACCAGATCTTTGTCCAAAAGTGTTCTTAGCTCTTTATTTGATCTCACCGTGAACAGCAAAGTACTTCGCTTGTCCCGGATGACTGATCCATCTGTTTACACCACATAATCTGTACTTTTTTTTCCCCGCCGCATTTCTTAATGCATAACATATGTTGTTCTTTAGTGGGTTTTTTTTTAATTCTAGGACTATCCGTATCTGGCCCTGGAAGCACAAAAAGGGCATTTATCATCTGCAATTTAATTTCACCACAGTGAAATATAGATAACAGTTGTTGCTTCGCGTTTTCTCAGAGTGGGTCCGAGATCTGGCTGATTGTCAGTGTTCCTGAGAGTCTGGGTACACCCAAGTTAATGATTCTGTCCATAGAATCGGAGGACAGGCGATTGTCTACATGGTATGTCATTGCTATTCACTTTTCTTCTTCTTCTTCTTCTTCTTCTTCTTCTTCTTCTTCTTCTTCTTCTTCTTTTTCTTCTTATTCTTCTTCCTCTTTTTCTTCTTTTCTTTCTTCTTCCCCTCCGTCTTCTTCTTTCGCTTTTTTTCCTCCATCATTCCCCTTCTCCTCCCTATTCTTCTCTTCTTATTTTTTTTTTCTCAGCCTATATTTTCTTTTGTGTTAAAATAAATAAAATAATGCCATAAAACTGGGGAAATCACAAGCTGTTTCTCAGTGTAAGCCGGACATCAAACGCGAAATCCCTACATTAACTGCATGCATAACGTTGTGCTCTCTTTTGTCGCCTACAGAATAGCGATAGGGAACTCTGTCGTGGAGTTCTGTCGAAATAATGAATGATTAGTGACGTCGACAATCGTCACACCACTCTGGACACACTGACCAATACTACGATTTTCACCTCAATAGATGCACAGGCGTTTAACGACTATTCAGAATTAATCAAGTAACAGAAAGTGCATTAATCGGCATTCATAGAAAGAAGTAGAAAGATAGAAGAACGCACTAGACAACATAAAAATCGAAAGCTATAGGGAATTGAACCTGTCACCTCCAGACGGCATCTTCGCCTCGCCATGGATACAAATGCACTAAGAACAGGGTCAACTAAGCACCCCCAAAAAGATGTCTTGTTTATCATGTCTATCGTACAGCTGGAAATCCACAACTATGGAATACGGACAGAATTCATTTCAAACCATTGAAAATGGCACCATAGGTTACAGAAATTTAAATTAACCAAGCATATGTCGAATAACAAACACACAACGACTATTCAGGCACGTTGTATCAAAAATCTTATGGTCTTTGTGAAATATTAGGATCTAACAGTTCCAGGCTGTATCAACAGATCTGCTCCAGGCTGTATCCACAGATCTGTTCCAGGCTGTATCCACAGATCTGTTCCAGACTGTATCAACAGTCTGCTCCAGACTGTATCAACAGATCTGCTCCAGGCTGTATCCACAGATCTGCTCCAGGCTGTATCCACAGATCTGCTCCAGGCTGTATCCACAGATCTGCTCCAGGCTGTATCAACAGATCTGCTCCAGACTGTACCAACAGATCTGCTCCAGGCTGTATCAACAGATCTGCTCCAGGCTGAATCCACAGATCTGCTCCAGACTGTATCAACAGATCTGCTCCAGGCTGTATCAACAGATCTGCTCCAGACTGTATCAACAGATCTGCTCCAGGCTGTATCCACAGATCTGTTCCAAGCTGTATCAACAGATCTGTTCCAGGCTGTATCAACAGATATGCTCCAGGCTGTATCCACAGATCTGTTCCAGGTTGTATCAACAGATCTGTTCCAGGCTGTATCCACAGATCTGTTCCAGGCTGTATCCACAGATCTGCTCCAGACTGTATCCACAGATCTGTTCCAGGCTGTATCCACAGATCTGCCAAACTGGCCAGGGATACAAAGTTGAGTTGATTTGAGTCAAGAATTGACATCACAGTACTCGGGGCATTCCCATACGTGCTCCGTCCTCATCTTCAGCAGCCAGCGCATGGTTCCAATACTGATGGGACCGGTCACAGTCCGGCTGTATGTCTGTTTTGCCTTCCCTCTGAGTGTAGTGAGCCGGCCAGACCCTCTAGTTACATCCAGGTGCCTCATTCTCTCCAGGCCATAATAATCTTCTTTCTCTACTGATTTCGTTGCTGGTTCCCAAAGGGACTTGACCACATCAGCCTTATCATGTATCAATTCACCACCCAGTGGTGCAGATCCAGCTAATCTGTCTGCCTGTTCATTACACACTATGCCCAGGCATACGGAATGTAGCTTGAAGTCATAAAAGTCTTTGCGATGTGCATCTCGCGATGTATTAATCACATCGCCCACGTCCAACCCGGGACTAGTGATATTAATAACATTGTCCGACAGATCATATGAGTTCTTGTCGCCTCCAATACTCGTATGGCCCAGTTTAAAAAAAAAAAAAAATTAGATTAGTCATTTATTTTTGCATTTAGATGCAGAAGAACTGTCATTTTATTGCTTAGCCCTAGGATTTTTTTTTTTTTTTTTTTGTACAGTGTGAATAATTTAGCTCATTAAATTACACAGTTTTTGAATATGAAAATTATGCGTGTTTTTATTTCAGCAGCTGTGAGTTTTAGGTAGCTTAGAACATAAAATGGAATTAGAAAGCTAAACGGAGGGAATGTAAAAGACCCGTACAAATACAGTCGAGCGTTTGTCATCACCATGAATGCAGTCACGTATTTTTACATCATCGCCTTTATCAAGTGAGAGATTTGAGGTTTGAAGAACTGATCAACATCATGGCACCCATAAGTGCTCCGTTCTTCTTCTAACTCAAGCCTGAGTCCGAAGAAGTTCATCACAATGCACAGTCTCTGTAGCGCAGGCGAAGATCCTGAAATACTTTGTGTAGATTTTTAGCTCTAAATTTTGCCCGGGCAGCGCCGTTAGGCTATCTTTTCGATTTCCAACTGCCAAAGGATTTTTTTACGTGCGCAACAATGCTCACGGGCGTCCGACCTCACTACCCAGAGACCAGGGGGAATTACTAGAAGTCCAAGTCCACGTGAACAAAAATCCCAGCTCTTACCGGGATTGAACCCGGAACCTATAGCACTCGAAGCGTACACCATGCCTCGAGACCACGCAGTCCCTGTTATCAAGTGTGATATGAAACGAAATACTATAATATCGAAAAACTACCTCTGATTATAAAAGAAGCACTAGACATATTTTGAGATCCAATACGCAAATAGGACCAAGTAAGACAGTATATCAAAATGTATGAGAAAGCGCCGCTGGAACAACATAGGCCATGCACTCTGAATGGATAAGACGAGACTCCCCTGCCACCTTTTCCCCCCTTCTACCCTATCCCCCTCCATCAAACTCTCATGTGGACACCGGACGGGAAAAGCAAACGGGGAAGACCAAGAGAGACCTTTTTGGAACGATCATCAGCGAAGGCTCAACCATGGGCCTAACAAACATCCAATACCTAAAAGAGATGGCAACGAACACCCAGACATGCAGAGCAATGACCTCTGCCCTATGCGCCGCCCTAGGCTCAAAAGGAAAGACTAATTAATCAACAAACTAATCTATCTTAGCGCCATATCCCAAATTCATATTTTCTATATGCGATAATTCGATCTTCATGTTATGTAAAGGCTTCTTTTTAAATTTTTAATGAGATGATATCTTCTTCTGATGGTCCACGCAGTATGGTGTTGGTGGTCATTTCTCATCCATACCCTACTGTCCCGTGTACTTTCAATCAGCTCTGACACAGATGATCTTCCATGGCATGATGTAAAACAGCATTTTCTTTCTGAGGCTCCCTCAGCATCTCCTCCCCTCCAAACTTTCCCACCGTACTCGCTTTTCTTCTCGTGACCTGAAAGAATGATTTCCACAATCAGTTTTCTTCGTGAATTAGTTTCTTTCAAGATATCTTCATTATACTGTTTCTTTCTATCTATCTAGGGTGTGCTCATCAAGCGTTTATAAAGTCAAATTTTCGCCGCTTCGAAATAATTTTTAACTAATCGTCATACTGTCCGTGATTTACCTCCGTTTATCTGTTCTGAAATTCGTCGAACGAGCCTTAGAAAATCGTTCCACTTGCCACACCTAGCATGGGTGCTCTAATCTGTGGTCAACTAATATTGAACAAAACACCAACATCTTGGTCACGTAACCCATTTATATTAATGCTGTTGTCTGAATCATTATGGATAACTTATTTACAATAATACCACGGTCTGACTCACTGTGGTCACATCTGATTTGCCGTTTCTTTTCAGGTTTGTGAAAGAAGTGTACGTCAGGCATATCTGTTCAGATACGGAACTGTTGTTTGTTTTCACCACCTGGTTGCCAAGCAAGGATGGGCTCGTGTTTGCCGTAGATGATGCAGCTCCAAGTCGAGGTAACTGTAAAAAAAGTAAAGTAAAGATCCCTTTACACGCCCTTGGGCGCATCGGGCATTGGGAAGAGCACCCATATTTACAGACCAATCGGCACTGGATGGGTAATATGGTCAGCATTACGCCAGCCGTCTTTACTTTCCCAGGACAGTCCATCCTGGTACCCGTTTTAGCCTGGGTCGACCTGCGACGTCCCATACCACGATAAAAATCCACGCAGCCCGCATTGGGTTTCGATCGCGGTACGTTGGATTACGAGTCAGACTCGCAACGCCTTAGCCACGGACGCCGCGAGGTAACTGTAACTGTCATATACTTGGTACCACTGAGTTTCTGCGAAGACAAGACCTTAGCATGACTTGCTGGGATGCTTGTGGTATAAACCCTACCCCAGATTTAGGCCTTTTCAGGGTACCTGACCAACAGAGCATGTTGAAAAAGGTGGAGACAGGCATGCTCCGTGCTGAGTGGCAAGCAACACTTCAAAGTTTCCGGGTAGTTAGTATCCTTTGGATATTTTCTTCAGGGTATGCCGGTATGTTGGGAAATGAGCAGGCAGATAGATTGGTCGGTTATACACCTCTTGGTGATAAACTGGTGTATGAAAAGCAGGATGTTGTGAGGGCCCTTTGGGAGCGAGTAAACAGTGCCGAAGAACAGATAAATCATTACGGTATGAGGAGAATGGCACTACGAGGAATTACAAGGGGATCTGACCGACGCTCGACACTCAGGGGAAAGGCGAGACTTATATACAATCAAACAGGTACTGGTACCATCCGAATTTTAACTCTTCGCTTGCTGCTGAAGATGGGGACGGGGCGCTTATGGGGGTGTCCCGAGTGCTATAATGTCGATTTTTAATTCAACTTTCAAAATTTTAAGATTCTCAGCCAGTAATTACTGCATAAATAATATAAATTAAATGGCTTTGCATTGCACGCCACCAAGTGAAGGATTACTGCAGAGTTGATCTGATCAATCAAAGAAGACAGACGCGAATACTGTCCCGACCAGTGAAAAAGGCGTCTACCGGCGAGCCAATGGCCGATATGTTTGTTAGTTTTACGTAGGTTAGCCTTTGGAAATGTCCAAGTGTGGCACTGGTAGCAAAGTTTTGGTATAATAATGCTGTTTATAATCTGTTTTTTTGCGGCTTAAATATATCTCTGGGTATCTTAAGGAATGATATAAAATTGAACAAAAAGTAGATCAGTGAGCTTCGCAAATCAAAACAAACAAAACGTAAACGTTGCGGCTATCGAACCTTCATCAGCACATAAATAAATTAGACAATACTACACAAATACACTTATATTCGTATCTCGAAGCAGCCAGGTCGATGTCTAGCCAATAGACTGGCGAAAAACGTTGGAACAGGAAAATAAATATCCTCGTAACTCGAGGATAAGATGAAACTGTGTAGGCAGTTCAGTCCCCTAGGTTTTTAGATAAAGCTGTGTTGGCAGTTTAGTCCACTGGGTGCCAGAGTTTCCAAAATGTATATAAAGCGATTTTCAAGAGACTTGCCAACTCTGTCGCTGAACTGGCCAGATTTAATGGCTGTCACCTCCATGCCATGAAAACCTTGGTGGTCCTAGGAATTAAAATGCATTGACTTCAGAGCACCGGTATGACTATGTTTGTTTGTTTGTTTTAGTATCCAGAAGCCATGAGTTGTTAACCCTTAGGCTCGGTATTATGGATATCGCAACCGTTCGGCCTTGATTCCATTTTAAATACCGTAAATCTGGCTTTTCTGCCCACCACCGGGAGTGAACCCGGACCACAAGGAGTTCGTCACCCGGTCACCGCGCAATCCGGTTTATCCCACTACGCTAGAGAGACAGGCTGTATGACGATGTAAGTTGGTATTGGCTCGTTGACATCATGATTATATTTTCCTATCTATTCTCCTGTCCTCCGATAATATATTTCATACATATTTCAATTTCTTTAACTTGCTGCAGACAAGTACCAATAATCTCGATCTGTGGCAGACTGGGAATTCTCCTGACTGCTTTAACTATCTAATAATATCCAATTTCGTCCTTTTTTGGACGAAATTTTTTGTCATTTGAAGCCCTACTCTGGCTTTTGCCAGGGGCCGCAATATAGGCAGGCCATACATATGGCCAAATGTCTGAACGCGGTTTCTGGGACCTCTCCACGGCGATCCTCATCCGCATGGTGGCACTTTGTGTCATCGGGTGTTTATCGCTTATGTAATGTCCTGGTGGGGTAGAAAGTCAGTCAGTCAGTCAGTCAGTCAATTCTCCTGACTTGCATTACTTCCCTTTTAGTATTATACATTCTCATGTTTGCTCAGCGATTCGGCGAGCAAGCTACAGTAGATCAAGGCGGGAAACTTACGGAAACAGTTGCTCCATCTGATACAGCACGCAGCCTTTCGAAAATTACTTGTATTTTTGGTGTGAAAGACAATGAGAGAGCAGACACTCTGGCTGGCAGTTTGACTATCAGGAAGAGACCATCTTTGGACAGGAGAGACATCATCAATGCTATACGTGAGACTAAACGCTGTCAGGTTTTCAGTTTCAGTGTTTCACTGAACAGCCTGCGTACCCTGGGTAGCCTGCGTACCATTTGGAGCCGCGAAACAGCAGAACCATGCGTTAGTCCCCCGCCGTTACATCAGCTAGAACAGAATGGGAGTTAGAGACACACTTAGGACAAAATCGGAGCACTTATATTCGAGCCTGATCTGCCATGAAGCTGATCCCAGAAATGAACAACGACCAGTATTCTCATGTTACATTGTCTACATGTTGAACTTAACCTGTTCAGATGATCTTGCAGTCTACTACCCACAATGTAGAAGAGGCACTCGTCTGCAAAAAGCCTCCCCGCGAAATGTTCTCAAAGCCAGCAGGAAATGCACTCTAGCCAACCGTTATTGTGGAGACGGCATTTTCTAATGTATTTTACTGTGGCCGAAAAGTTTTCATTTGTTTCTTTAAGCACCACCTACCATTCCTAGAACCTCGCTAATATCTTTGCTTCTTTTTTGTTAACTCGTAGATCTCGTCAAGATGACTGTTGGATCCATTTTATTACGTCTGATGCGAAATCAACATCCGATTGTGGGAATGATCTACAATATTCCGGGTAGTCGGTTCAACAAGGCGAGTCAGATGGTGTTGAAAAATGTTTTCATCTTTAAAGTACCCTCCTCATTTCTTCTTCTTCTTCTTCTTCTTCTTCTTCTTTTCTCTCTTCTTCTTCTTCTTCTTCTTCTTATTCTTCTTCTTCTTACTTTTTTTCTTCTTCTTCTTCTTCTTCTTCTTCTTCTTCTTTTTCTTTCTCTTCTTCTTCTTCTTCTTCTTCTTCTTCTTTCTCTTCTTCTTCTTCTTCTTCTTCTTCTTCTTCTTTTTCTTCTTCTTCTCCTACTACTACTACTACTACTACTACTACTACCACTACTACTACTACTACTACTACTACTACTACTACTACCTCTTCTTCTTCTTCTTTCTTTTATTCTTGTTTCGTCCTCCTCTCCCTTCTCTTTTTCATCTTCTTTCTACTATTTATTTTCCTTCTTGGTTTTCTTTTTCTTCCTCTTTTCTCATTTATCAGCTATAAAGTCCAATGGAAAGTCGACTCCCGGACTTTATTGCAACAGACCTGACCCCGTCCTGCCCAGTCTCTCCCTGCAGGCTAGCCACCAGCATATAATGCTGCACAAAGCAACCAATCCGCAGCTTTAAATGTGAATCACAAATAGTTACGTAAAACAAGTTTTTCAGGCTTCTGACAAATTGTTTGACCACTCCGTCACATGGAGACTAGTCTGCTCTGAAAATGTATTCCGGTTTTAGGTTTGTTGTTTGTTTGTTCGTTTGAGTATCCAGAAGCCATAAGTTGTTAAACCTTAGGCTCGGTATTATGGATATCGCAACCTTTCGGCCTTGGTTCCATTGTAAATACCGTAGATCTGGGAGAAAATGTGGCTTTTCTGCCTACCCCAGGGAATGAACCCAGACCACAAGGAGTTTGTAACCCGGTCACCGCGCAATCCGGTTTAGCCAACTTCGCCATAGAGCCCGTGTTTAGGTTTGTTAAATAATGTGTGTACAAAATCAGATGGCGATCGTTGTCTCATTTCAAGGAAAGAGGGAGACTAGCATGTCTTGTGACCACTGGAAAAATAAATAATCGCATACTATATTGTCTTTTTTTTTTTTTTTAGGTTAGTTGCGTATTCTTTACAAGGCGTTGCAGAACCAACGCCAGCATGTTTCGGCTGTTGTAGTTTTTCTAGGCAAGTTTACGTCCAGTAGTTTGCCAGTGCTTTCTGGACGGTCAGCTTCTCGATACCACTGGTAGTCTGGTCTGGTAGTCTGGTAGTCTAAGTTTCAGCTTCATAGCAAACGGGTCGCCCCATCTTTGCTCCGCTCCTGTGCCAGCGAAAAACACCCTGAATGTTTATCACAGTCCCTTGTGGAAAGATTGACAGACTGCTGTCTCAGCATATCTAGCATACACTCGCATTAACGCATACCACTGTCGAAACCAACGCAAGGCGCCAGGCCTGTAGCTTTTATTACTTTATAGAGACAGTTTTAATAGTCAGTCCTGGACAATTGATAAACAAACCAAACACTGTCTTCAGACCTCTGAGATGTCGTTCTACTTCTTCCCCACCCCCCCCCCCCCACACACACACACACACATACATACAAACTGGTAAGAAGGACTACCCTATAGGTAGGTGCTTTGCTGAAAGGGAAAAACACGTTCATCACGTTCAACTAGCTTCCCTAAAGGGGTGGCTTTAGGTTATAATTGCGACTAGGTTATGTGCGCCATATAAAATGACTCAAAAGCCACCAAGAGCCCTGAAGAGGACGTCTATAGTGTTGATGCCATCAAAGTAGACACCCTAAAGCTTTATTAGTAAAACACAACTGCTGTGCGAAAGATTGTTGACTGGAAGGGCCGAATGTAAGACGGGCCTGCGTGCCCAATTTGTGACCCTTTGAAAATAAAGTTCGCTCGTTCGTTCGTTCGTTCCCGACCGGTGACGAGTTCGTCAACCGGCGAACCAGTGTTTGATCCGGTCGTCAATGTGTCCCCACCCACACCTTTTTTTCAGTAATTGTTATGGTGAGAAACCCCAAGCCTTACCATAAATAGATGTTCTCTATTTTAAGCGTGTCTTTATACATGTATGTTATTTCAAATATATTATTGTTTTATTTACCATTAGGAATATAAAAGACGCTTTTGCTTACTGGGCACATAGGGCTAGACCTATATTGTGTGCACCAGTTGACACTAGGTGGTTGATATGGTCAAGATCACTTCAAACGTCTTTATTTCCTAGGTATTGAGCAAATTTTCTTCTTCTTTGCATTCAATGGCTGTTAACACCGGTGGAAATTCCTGGCTGTTCGTCCACCACTTGGCTTTAGTCTTTTCCAGAACCTGAGTGTTTCGTGCACATCCGTTTTACAGATGGTGCTTATTTATATGCACACTGTTTGTTCCTTGCTTCTGAGGCAAATGCACTCCGATCTCGAAAGAAGATTCCCAGTTAGTCGACTCCTACGACATGCTTGTTTGAGAGGCAGTGGGTCTAATCTTGTTGTCCCTACAATCGGGCGCCTGAATCCACTACTCCTGTAGGGTTGATGCAGTCTAAGGAGATAGACCCAAAATACTATACCGACCCACAGCGAGCCAGTGGGCGACCTGGTTGTTGATTAAATCAAACTAGATTTTATTGAAAGAAATCCAGTTCTGCTGTTGTTAAACACGATTTTCTCTTCAGTAAGCCCAGACTATACAGTTAATAAACCCAGATTCTGCAATTTCAACAAAAACCACAATTTACAAAGCCAGATTTTATCAGTTAATAGATAATAATAAGTTAATAGATGGTAGCCTTGTAGGCTTGTAGGTAACACGGTAATAATTGGAAATTTTGAAGTTAGTAAGTTAATAATTAGGAGGCTGGCAGGTGATACAGTTGCTGAAGCCAGATTATACAGTTGCTGAAGCCAGATTTTGCAGTCGCTGAAGCCAGATTTTGCTGCTGCTTGTAACCACAGACACAGCACGTCCTGTTCTGCCTGTGTGGCATGCACATCCTGCTGCTGGTTTGCCTGTTGGCCCAAGACCTGCCCATGCCGAAGCTGATGAATGACCAGGAGATTAGCGAGGACTTCACGGTGAAAGTCGAGTTCTTCATTCGGGCAACAAAATGTGCCCTGATATCGCTGGTGCCCATCTATCTCCTGGGCATACTTGTGGAAACGTGAGTTTTGCTTTAGACACAGAGAGAGAGAGAGAGAGAGAGAGAGAGAGAGAGAGAGAGAGAGAGAGAGAGAGAGAGAGGGGGGGGGGGGGGGGGAGGGAGGGAGGGAGGGAGAAAATGATAAAATAAGAGAGTGTATGTAAGAGAGTGAAAGAAAGAGGGGAGAGAGCGTGGAAGAAGTAGGGGGGGGGGGGAATGAGAGAGTATGAGAGAGTGAGAGTCTGTGTGTGTAAGAGAATGACAGAGTGTGTATGAGAGAGTGAGGAAGTGAAAGACAGAGTGCGAGAGTGTGTGTGAACAGATGAGAGAGAGAGAGTCGGAAAGATAGAGGAAGAGATTGAGTGACAGTGAAAAAACAGAGACTTGTATTGTGTGAGAGTGTGTGAGAGAGTGTGTGTAAGAGAGTGGGAGAGGGTGACATAGTGTGTGTGTGTGTGTGTGAGGGTGCGTCAGAGAGAGAGAGTGTTTGTGAGAGAAATAGAGAGAGAGGTGTGAGGCTGAGATAGAGTTCTACTAGTGAATGAGAGATAGTGAGAGAGGGTGAGCAATGGACTGAGAGAGAGAGACATCGTATGTGTGTGGTATTTATATGTTTACCTAATGGAAGTTGCCTGTGAAGTGAAGGCGCTGTTGTTGATCACCAATCAAGTAGTGCCGATTGATCTATAAAACTTCAGATCTAGCCCTATATACCCAGTAGGCCTGAAGGCGTCGAAAATAAACCCTCACTCTCACTTTTAAGGGAAGTTGGTGTCGTTGACTGAGAGTTGTACGCTTTTGACGTTGATAATGTGGTATATGATATGTTGGGAGGTATTTAGTTAGTAGGTTAATATTTCCTGGATTGGAAGGTTGGTAACTGGTATGTTATTAGTTGACAGGGTTGAATGGTAATTGATAAGTGAATAGTTGCTAGGTTCGGTGGTGAGTAATTGATAGGTTGGTAGTTGGGATGTTGGTGGGCTGGGATGGTTGCAGTTGAAAAATTAATAGATGGTAGCCTGGTAGGCTTGTCATTTATACGGTAATAATTGGACGTTTTGTAGTTAGTAAGTTAATAATTAGGAGGCTGGCAGGTGATACTTTAGTAGTTGTGAGGTTGACAGTTGGCAGGTTGGTAGTTGAGATGAGGGAGGTCGACAGTTAGCAGGCTGGTAGTTGGGATGTTGGAGGTTTGGAGTTTGGTAGTTGGGATGTTGGAGGTTAGGAGTTTGGTAGTTGTGATGTTGGAGGTTGGGAGTTTGGTAGTTGGGATGTGGGAGGTTAGGAGTTTAGTAGTTGGGATGTTGGAGGTTAAAAGTTTCTTAGTTAGGGATGTGGGAGGTTGGGATTTTGGTAGTTGGGATGTGGGAGGTTGGGAATTTGGTATTTGGGATGTTGGAGGGTGGGAGTTTGGTAGTTGGGATGTGGGAGGTTGGGAGTGTAGTAGTTGGGATGTGGAAGGTTTGGAGTTTGGTAGCTGGGATGTTTGAGGTTGGGAGTTTCGAAGCTGGGATGTGGGAGGTTGGGAGTTTTGTATTTATGATGTTGGAATTTGGGAGTTTGGGGTGTGGGATGTGAGAGGTCGATAGTTTGCAGGCTAGTAGTTTGGATGTTGGAGATTGGGAGTTCGATAGTTGGGGGGTTTGTCTAATTGTTTGTTTTAACTGGTCACTCTGGTTGTTAAGGTAGTCGACTGATCTAATTTGCTACCGCAGCGACAATACAAAGCCAATCTCACAGTACCTGTTGCAAACTCACCATATCCTCTTGTCCGTGTCCGAGAGTTCGATAAAGTGTAGCAGGGGACGATCGAGGCCTGGAGTCATGAACTAGGTCGGGCCGACTTTCCCAGATATTCTGGGAAGTAATAGCCAGAAACAA